AATCTGAATTAAATGGAATTAAATATATCTTTATATATTTGCATAAGAAATGTAAACAAACACACGCACACACACACACACACACGCACACAGACACACACACAGACACACACACATACACACACACATACACATACACATACACATACACATACACAAACACATACACACACATACACACACACACACAGACACACACACAGACACACACACAGACACACACACACACACACACACACACACACACACACACACACACACACACACACACACATTGTACTACCATAGCGACAATAAATGTGTAAAAAATACATTAAAAAAAGATAAATAAAAACAAAACTACATCATATAGAAATATTTATTTACCCCAATATATAAATATGTAAAATCAGTATATTAGATATTGTGCCGTAGTGCCGTTCTCTGCTTGAACCGAGCTCTCAATGTCTCTGATAATCCTCACTGATTGAGTTTGAGAGAAGCAGAAAGATGTAAAAATAGACGACATGAAGAATCAGATATTACTCCTCGCTTGGTTGTGTCCCTGAATCATCCAGAAACCCTCCTCCTCCCCCTCCTCCTCTTCATCCTCCTCCTCTTCATCCTCCTCCTCCTCCCGACATCCTGCTACATCCGATACTATTTATAGCAGCTTTTGGCAGGCAGGAATCGGCGTAGTGAGGATGAAGAGGAGGATGAAGAAGAGGAGGAGGAGGAGGAGGAGGAGGAGGCGGCATCATCACAGGAAACTCCTCTCTGATTCCTACGTCCACATTTCCATTTTTGCAGCTGAGAGCCTTTGAAGGACGCTCTGACACCCGCTCTTATTCTGAAGGACGCTCTGACACCCGCTCTTATTCTGAAGGACGCTCTGACACCCACTCTTATTCTGAAGGACGCTCTGACACCCGCTCTTATTCTGAAGGACGCTCTGACACCCACTCTTATTCTGAAGGACGCTCTGACACCCGCTCTTATTCTGAAGGACGCTCTGACACCCGCTCTTATTCTGAAGGACGCTCTGACAACCCGCTCTTATTCTGAAGGACGCTCTGACACCCAGCTCTTATTCTGAAGGACGCTCTGACACCCACTCTTATCTAAGCTCCTTATTCTGAAGGACGCTCTGACACCCGCTCTTATTCTGAAAGGACTGTGTGTCGCTAACGGCAGAGAAACCATGAGACTTCATACTGGGAATGTGAGGTATCCCATAATAAAACATGGATAATATTGGCTTATCAATACATTAATTTAATATAAATAATATAATATAATAAATATAAATATGTAAAATAATTAAAGGTAAAAAAAAAAATTATTAATCTAATCAAATAAAATAGGATTATTCCTTAAGAAATACAAAATAAAAGGTCCACCTTGTACCATAATAACAAAATGGTATGTTAATGTCAAACATGGATAATATTGGCCTACCAAAAAAAAAAATACATTCAATGAATATTTAAAACAATTTAAATATACATTTTTACTTGAGAAATTAATAACAAAATACATTTGTAAAAGAATGAATGAAACATATTTTTTTAAATAAATAAATCAAATGTATCTAATAAAATAATATAAAATAGGAATATATATTATTCCTTAAGAAGCAAACATTACATCAACATTGTACTACAATAATAACAAAAGGTATGTTAATGTGAAGTAAAAAATAAACAAATATTAAGTTAAAACATTTTTTTAAATTAAAGGTGCATATATGTACATCAATACATACAAGACAATACATTTGTAAAAATATGTATATTACATTACATACAGTACGGTAGTGTACAACTAAATTCAGAATAAAGCCTAATTCTGAATTTGCAAAAAATGTAACGACCCAATTTCTGTATAATGTCATTATGTGAATAATAGTGGAATATGAGGTCGCATGCACACCAGCCTTGTTTAGTCCGGTTGAATCGAACCCTGGTGCGTTAAGCCGCGTGGTGCGGTTCGTTTGGGTCGGTGTGAACGCAGTCCGAGACCTCTGAAGTGAACTAAACAACCGGACTCTGGTCCTAAAAGAGGTGGTCTCGGACCGCTTGCTAGTGAACTCTGGAGCGGTTCATCTCTGGTGTGAACGCAGTCCGCACCAAAACATAGGAAGCGTAGTATTTACGAGTCACAAGAACGCGGATGTCTTCAAAATCTTTAGTTAAATAGTGAAGCAGAATGAAGTGTTGAACAGTGTCGTGTAAAGTAAAAATGCTCCGTCAACTACATAAAAGTCAGAGCCACCTGTCGTCGGTGAAACCCCCCTCCTTACTGCAGAACGTCTCTCATTATGTGTTATAATGTTTCTTAACGCACGTCGTCTGATTTTATAATAAATATGAGCCGTCCGCTAGAGTCTGGTGATGATATGCTCTCCAACAGCAGCATGAAAAATAACCTGCGATGCTCCAAAGCTCCGGTAGAAATTGCCGGGATTTGCGTTTTTTACCCCCTTAATGTCTGACCAATGGTTGAACAGCATTTCCGAGCACATGACTTGTGTTTAAAGTTTATAGTCCGTTTGAGTTTTGCCCGTGTGAACGCAAACCGAACCTTCTGACAAATGAAACAATGCAACAAACTGTGGTCTGGTGCGCACCTGAAAACGGACTATTAGGTGTGAATGCGACTTAGAGTGCATTTGAACTTAGTTACCTCCCTCAAATCATCAGGTTTTTTGCCTACGTCTACACACTTAAATAACGTTAATTTCCCCGCTTTTCTAAATGCAGTTATCTTTTCTTCGGTGGTGAAGTATCGCTGTACTCTGCAAGGTTTTCAAAATATCAATTTATTCGGTATTTTACTTTAAGCTGTAACTCTTGAAATGATTGTCTCAGAAACCTTTGAGCTTTTATTTTGAAATAATTTCCGTTTGACTGTTTTAAGTGTTTTTACTCAAGTGAAGGCGATAGTGAAATGAGAAGAAGTAGAAATTACAGAACAGTTATTGTATATGATGACTGTTACACTGTGACATCATGACGTTTTGTTCTGGCGCCTGTAAACTGGTCTGTTTGTCACTTCCTGGTCTCGCTCTCACTTCCTGGTATTTGTAGTTCTTCCTGTGAGTTTTTGTAGTTCTTCATCTGAGTCTCTGTAGTTCTTCATCTGAGTCTTTGTAGTTCTTCATGTGAGTCTCTGTAGTTCTTCATGTGAGTCTTTGTAGTTCTTCATCTGAGTCTTTGTAGTTCTTCTGAGTCTTTGTAGTTCTTCATCTGAGTCTTTGTAGTTCTTCATCTGAGTCTTTGTAGTTCTTCTGAGTCTTTGTAGTTCTTCATCTGAGTCTTTGTAGTTCTTCTGAGTCTTTGTAGTTCATCTGAGTCTTTGTAGTTCTTCCTCTGAGTCTCTGTAGTTCATCTGAGTCTTTGTAGTTCTTCTGAGTCTCTGTAGTTCTTCCTGTGAGTCTTTGTAGTTCTTCCTGTGAGTCTTTGTAGTTCTTCCTGTGAGTCTTTGTAGTTCTTCCTGTGAGTCTTTGTAGTTCTTCCTCTGAGTCTTTGTAGTTCTTCCTCTGAGTCTTTGTAGTTCTTCCTGTGAGTCTCTGTAGTCCTCTTGCCTCCTGATGCTCGTCCATCTGTCGCCTCATGAGACGTTCACTGACCGTTTGTGTTTCTGTACTCGGGAACATCGGTTAAAAACAGCAGCTGTGTATTGAGCGGTGATCGGCTTATTGGATGCTAAGATTTCATAAAGACAGATTTCAGGGAATATGTTATTTATTTATTATTTTTTGGACGGAAACGGTAATTTAACCAAATACGACTGATTTACACTTCACATGTCCAGGAATTATACAAATGTTTTGTTTAAAATGTGTTTCTGACATCTCCCCATTTTACATGATTTTATTTATTTAATTCAAATTTGTACTCCTTTTTACATTTGAACTTGTTATGTTGTTTTTGCAAACCTTAATTATAACTTGTTTGTTTAATTACATATTTTTATCTAATTGCTCCTTTTTAACTTGGAAATTATGAATAATTTCATAAATATCATTTTATTGCAGTTATACTTTAAATCCTCATATTTTCTTAATTAAACTTTTTTATTCAAAAATTGAGAACTGTCTCTTATTTTGGTTTTCAATAAAAAACCCGTCGGCAAAAACGCAACATCTGCAAGAAACAGCGTCTGAGGGCTTCTTAACATTCAACAAACTATGAATGTGTCATACCCACTTAACGGGAAGAAACTCAGCTTTCAGACAATATGAACAATTTTTAGATAAACAAAACACAACCCTCACGCCAAGCCTCTGAATTAGCCCTGAGCGAAAAAATGCTAACGCAACTCACGGTAGAAATACTTTATTACTTATCGGATCTGCACAAACAAGATATCCGATTAAAGCTGAGATTCCACAGATTCTAGAAATATAAGTATCATCACTGAGCGATCAAAACCCAGACAACCCACCACGTAGCTGTACGGAGCAAACACGGACAAATTGTCTAACCTTTTGCTGTTTCTGATCAAAAGTTGTGATCAATGGCATCAAAACGATAAAAACGCAGCTGAAGGTTCATCCAATATGTCTGTGTCACTTTGAAATGATTTCTGATCATCCATCATCATATTTATGGCTATAACCTAGTTTTCAGAGCGTAAAGAGGATGAATAATCGAAGGTGTTCCCCTGAACCCGGCGGCTCTCTGACGGTGTTTTGTGATCATTCCTCCTGACGGTGTTTTCTCGTTCCTCCTGACGGTGTTTTCTCGTTCCTCCTGACGGTGTTTTCTCGTTCCTCCTGACGGTGTTTTCTCGTTCCTCCTGACGGTGTTTTCTCGTTCCTCCTGACGGTGTTTTCTCGTTCCTCCTGACGCTGTTTTCTCGTTCCTCCTGACGCTGTTCTCTCGTTCCTCCTGACGGTGTTTTCTCGTTCCTCCTGACGGTGTTTTCTCGTTCCTCCTGACGGTGTTTTCTCGTTCCTCCTGACGGTCACTTTTTATTGTTAGCATGTATTTGTAACATCCTGTTCCCTCCTGCAGAAGTACCGGCAGCAGGATGAGGACTCGTCCCCTCAGGACTCCCCCCAGCTGACGGAGGAGGGTCCGGAGCTCGTTCAGGTGGAGGAGAGGAACCTGTCGCTGATCGAGAACGTCCACGGATACGTAACGCACGCTCACATCTCCCCGATGAAGGTACGGCGAAACATATGTCATTATTATAATCAGTTTCCATCGATCCCTGTCTTCGTGTTCATTTACAGCTTGACGTTTAACATTATTTACCAACAAGTGGACTCATCCCAACATATTGTAATGTTCACTGTCAAATTAATAAGTTAGTGAAATAAACGTGTAAATATTTAAAGTCCTTTTTTTGAAAAGCTGGGATCAAGATAATATAATATTTGCTGCTTTATTCGTACACTTTTCTATTGAAGTGATTCATTAGGTCTAATGTCTCATTCACAGCTTCACATTTAATCAGAAACATTATTTTTAATGGACTTTTTAAGACGTTTAAATATAATACAAATATTGAATGATGTTATTTGTCAGCGAAATATTGATTTTAGTCAGAAAGTAAAGCAAATGATTAATTTACAACAAAGAGCAGCTCTTCTGATGATTGATCTTTATCTATTAACATGGTTTCAAAACATACATAGCATGTGTTGAACTAACTTTAAATCGTTTTAAACCCACTGTAAAACATTGTCTTGTCAACAAAGAAGAATATATTTACTGTTTAATCAGAAATGTCAAAAAAAGGCTGGAATCATTTTAACGTTTTTATATATTTAGCATTTTCTCACATCTTTTGCATCTTTCCTGTTTCCTCTTTATCTGTCTGTGTGTGTTCATTAAAACACTTTCCAGGCAACACGTTGATCAGAAACTTAAGGATGTCCTCATTGCAAAGTCATAATGTATTCAGATATATAAAAGAAACTTTACAAAAATATCCTCTTGATTTAAAGGCTAGTTGTTCAGGAGGATCTCTCCTGTGGAAACAACCCAGATCGTTCAGGGAAACTTACTTTACTTACTTTTTGAATAAATAAACAAGCTGGTAACATTATTATAGTATATATTATAATATATATATATATGTTCAACATGAACTCACAGCTGGTATGGTGATGATATGAGAGGATAATGTGTTTGATATCAGAGCACACTATAATGACGTGCAGTGACGCGTCCTGAAACCCGGAAGGAAGCTTCTTCCAGTTCCTTCGACACAAGCAGTGAGATGTCTCCATAGGGTTTATGGAAATATCTGGAGCTCAGGTCTGTGGCTGAGACACGTTTAAGAGACGGGTCACGTTTTGTTCACTCGGATAATCTCTACATGTCTACCCTACTTTTATCATTTTCTAATCATAAATCTATCGATCATAAATCTATCAATTAGATTTATGATTAGAAAATGATAAAAGTAATTGTGTCACTCCATTGACCTCCAGAGCAGGGGACAGGAAGTGAGGAAATGCTGACTCATCCCAGCGGTTTAGGACTCATTCCTCCATAAACGTTGCTGCGTCTCCTTTGAGTAACATCGAACTCAGATCCAATCGTTCATGGTTTTAGAAACAGAATCTATTTTTAGAACATGTTTTCAGAACCTCCCTCTTCATCACCTGTCTCACCTCACCTGTCTCTCCTCACCTGTCTCTCCCCTCTGTCTCTCCTCACCTGTCTCACCCCTCTGTCTCTCCTCACCTGTCTCACCTCACCTGTCTCTCCTCACCTGTCTCTCCCCTCTGTCTCTCCTCACCTGTCTCACCTCACCTGTCTGTCCCCTCTGTCTCTCCTCACCTCCTCCCCCTCTGTCTCTCCTCACCTGTCTCACCTCACCTGTCTGTCCCCTCTGTCTCTCCTCACCTCCTCCCCCTCTGTCTCTCCTCACCTCCTCCCCCTCTGTCTCTCCTCACCTGTCTCACCTCACCTGTCTGTCCCCTCTGTCTCTCCTCACCTGTCTCACCTCACCTGTCTCTCCTCACCTCCTCCCCCTCTGTCTCTCCTCACCTCCCTCCCCTCTGTCTCTCCTCACCTGTCTCACCTCACCTGTCTGTCCCCTCTGTCTCTCCTCACCTCCTCCCCCTCTGTCTCTCCTCACCTCCTCCCCCTCTGTCTCTCCTCACCTCCTCCCCCTCTGTCTCTCCTCACCTGTCTCACCTCACCTGTCTGTCCCCTCTGTCTCTCCTCACCTGTCTCACCTCACCTGTCTGTCCCCTCTGTCTCTCCTCACCCTCCTCCCCCCTCTGTCTCTCCTCACCTCCTCCCCCTCTGTCTCTCCTCACCTCCTCCCCCTCTGTCTCTCCTCACCTGTCTCACCTCACCTGTCTGTCCCCTCTGTCTCTCCTCACCTGTCTCACCTCACCTGTCTGTCCCCTCTGTCTCTCCTCACCTCCTCCCCCTCTGTCTCTCCTCACCTCCTCCCCCTCTGTCTCTCCCCCCTCCGTCTCTCCCCACCTTTGCCTCTCTCTCTCTCTGTGTTTTGACCCTCGCGAGACTCCGTCCTGCTCCTTTTGTCCCGTAGGAAGTGGCTCTGGAGTCCATCTTTGACGGTTCCTCAGCGTTCCTCCAGGATCTCCCCTCCCCCTCCTCCTCCTCCCTCTGTAGCCCCGGAGAGGACAGCCCCCTCCCCTCCTGCTCCTCCAACCCCTACCCCTCCATCCAGGTAACCCCCCCCCACCCACCCACCCCAACACCTCCTTCACTCACCTGGCTACGGCCGTTTAAAATAATAAGATATACTTTATGAATCTGTCACAGCAGCATAGAAGACGATGCACATTAATTAGAGGTAAATACAAAAACATTAAAATAGGCAAAACAGTTATATATACGTATCAATATATTCATTTATTCACATTCAGATAATCAATATTTACGAAAGTGTATTTTCTAAGAAACCTATTTAAAAGATAAGATAAATATGAATGTATCCCTGTAGGGCAGTGCTTCTCAAACGTTTTCATACCAATAAAGAAACACTCGCGGACCACCTAACTCCACAAATATCCCAAAACACATCGTTTTTCTAGAACAGATTACAAATCGCCTGAGAATTGTACAAACAAGTGGCAACATGTGTGATGAAGGTGTTGCGGTGGGCTGTATCATGCAATCGATACATTAAGGAGATATTCCTGCGAGAGTGCAGAAAACTTACATTTATTTATTTATTTAAAATGTGAAATTTTACCAATATTCTCACGGACCACTAGGGGGCGCTCACGGACCACTAGGGGGCGCTCGCGGAAAAGTCAGAAAATTGAAATTTTCCGAAAATGTCAAATTCTAAGATTTTCGGAAACATTTAGAAATGTTCAGAAAAAAGGGTGATTTTCAGAAAAAAGGGAAATACACAGAATGTATAAAAATAAAACGTTCAAATAAAAGTTAGAATTCACAACAACAACAAAAAGAAAAGGTAAAACACAGAGAAGTTGATTCAAATGTATTCCGTTTTTAAATATAATTGTTAATAAAAGAAAATATATATTTATGTTAATATTTTTACAATGGTACCACTTTCCTTAATTTATTACTATTTTGAGATTTTCATGAAAAAAGTGAGAAATTTTGAAATGTTGAGAAAAAGTCTGAAGTCAAAATGTCAAAATGTTCGGGGGAAGTGTCTTGCCCAAGGTCACATGACTGTAGGTCTAATGCTATTTGCTATTGGTTAACATTGGTTTATGTTGTATTTATTTATTTTTTTGTTTTTAAATATTTTCTATACACTTTAGATCAGCGGTTCCCAACCTGTGGGCCGTGGCCCTCTAGTGGTCCGCGAAGGCATTGCAAGTGGGCCGCCAAATAATTTGCAAAACATTATGATTTGTGTGGAAACATTTCATTATTAAGATTTTTTTTTATTTTAACCTCTTGATCCTCCTTAGCAACGGTCATTACAGTCCTTAGCAGTCCTTAGCAACGGTCATTACAGTCCTTAGCAACGGTCATTACAGTCCTTAGCAACGGTCATTACAGTCCTTAGCAACGGTCTGTTCTACTGGATTTACAACGTGTCACATGTTCTGAATTGACCAATCAGAACTTTATTTAGCCTCCGTATTGTTGATGGTTGAATGTGGGCCGTGAACATTTTTTTGATTCTTAAGTGGGCCCTGAGTTGAGAAAGGTTGGGAACTGCTGCTTTAGATAAATGAAAACAACATTCCTTAATCATAATTTGTATTCAGTTTTTTACACGCTTTTCTTCAACTCGTTTGTTTAAATGCATGAAATATGTTGTGAGTAACTCGTCCCACTCCAGGATGGCTTTGATCTTCTGATTTCTCTTCGGTAAGAAAGCCAGTTATTATTATTTCCCAATGTTGAACGTTCCCTTCAACAAGACGCAGGATGTGTGGTTTTGTCGAGGGAATGGGTCTCTTTATATTAAAGGGTAGACCACATGATTGAAATCCCGTTAGTTGAAACCTGCAGCTTTCTTCCTGGTTCTATTATGACAGCGTTCTGTTTCCATGTGTTTCTGTCCACTGCTTTCATTCAGACTGAAATCACTTTCTGACGGTTTGGTGATCTGACTTTGTAATGAATGCTTTCATCAGGACACCATGTTGAAAAAGCAACAATAAAATATAAAGTAACCAAAGCTGCCAGACAAATGTAGTAGAAGTGAATGAAGGGAGGTAGAAGCATGCAGGGGGTCTGCGGGGTCTAAAAGTATTAAAAGTTGATAAATCAATTTAAGGAAAATGAAGGCTATTAAAAAGTATTAAAGGGCATTTTCCAAGGTGTTACATTTTGTAGCTTGTTTTCAATAAGTATATGAATTGTCCAAAGAGGTTGTATTCTACAGTGTGCCTGAATGTAATCATTGCGTAGGTGTGTAGTGTGATTCTGTGGAGTTTATTGATGGCATCCCGTTGGGTTTGACGTCATCTGAACAGGACATCGCACGCTCACTGCTTGATAGCGTGAAGGTCCGTTTACGCCGGTTGTTAAACAACATCGTTATGGGGAAATGCAAGTCTGCGTCCAAATGGTTGGAAGATAAGGAGGAAGGACAATCAATACTGTATATAGTCAATGTGAGGTAAAGTGTGTCGCCAAGGTAACCGGTTAAAACTCAAAGTGGCGATGAGGTCTTAAAATGTATGGAAAGGGTCTTAAAAAAGGTCTTGAAAGGTTTTACATGTGACTTCAGGATCCCTGCATACACCCTGGTGTGTCAAAGTGAACCAGAGTACATGGAGTACAGGATTTGAGTAAATGTCCAAGCTTTGTGTTTTTTGTCGGGACTCCAATGTGTTTCTGTGCACCGCTTCGATTCGGACTGAAATATCTCAACTACTTTTGGACGGTTTGAGATGAAGTTTGGTGATTTTCTGACTTTTTAATTAGTGCTTTCAAATCAAATCAAATCAAATCAAGTTTTATTTATATAGCACATTTTTAAATGATTTTTGGTCGAGCCAAAGTGCTGTACATATAATAAAAATACCCTACAGTAAAGACACTTTACAGCTAATGCACAGTTTGTTCAGAATATCAGTATGAGAAAAACAACACCCTCTGTCCTTAGACCCTCTGTCCTTAGACCCTCTGTCCTTAGACCCTCTGTCCTTAGACCCTCACATCGTACAAGGAAAAAACAATCAGGACAACATATCAATGTGTCAGATACCTGCAGAACTAAAGATATATATATATATATCAGCTTCAGGACCTTTTCATGGGTTAACATGCAAACATTGTAATGTGCACGGTAGCTTAAGCTGTCAGATCAAGGTAGTGGACTGAATGAAAGGAGGTAGAAGCATGCAAACGAAGAACCAGAGTGCATGGAGTAAAGGATTTGAGTAAATGTCCAAGCTTTGTGTTTTTTATACGTGTCGGGTTTCCAATGTGTTTCTGGTTCACTGCTTCGATTCAGACTGAAATGTCTCAGCTACTTTCGACGCATTGAGAGGAAGTTTGGTGATTTTCTGGCTTTTTATTGAGTGCTTTGATATTGGAAAAGCCACAGTGAAACATAAAGTAACCAGAAAGCTGCCGGACCAACGCAGTGGAAGTGAATGAAGGGAGGTAGAATCGTGAAGGAGCAAAGGGAAGACCGTGGAGTCCAGTATTCGAGCGTTCGGTGGACTTCTTGAGATCTCCACTTCCTGCTCCTCATTGTTTCCTCAACGTTTGAAGTCTCCAGTTTGACGTCAGTTATCTCTCCTCCTCCTCCTCCTCCTCCTCCTCCTCCTCTTCCTCCTCCTCCTCCTCCTCGATAACGCTCTGAATGGATCCCTGAAAAGGCTCTGAAGGCTCTCTTCTTCTTTGTTATTTCTTCCGTCTTTCTTCCTCCGCCTCTCGCTCGCGTTCCTCGGTGGCGGAGGAGGAGGAGGAGGAGGAGGAGGAGGAGGAGGAGGAGGAGGAGGAGGAGGAGGAGGAGGAGGAGGAGGAGGAGGAGGAGGAGGAGGAGGAGGAGGCGGCTTCCTGTAAATGGCCTCCTAACACAAACAGATTCCCAGCCGCTCTGAGTCTTCATCACGAGACAGAGGTCGTGAAATGACTCGTCACTAATGCTCCGTCGCCTCATCTCTGCCGCACTGTATCCCCGGCTGCAGCAAAGCATTCTGGGAGGACAGAGCGACTCTATTTATAGCCCACAGGGTGCCAGTCGTGCCTGGAATATCAGGGACATCATGGAATATCTGAGGAAGCTTTTTCCAGGCCGAGGAAGAAATAGATACATACATTTAAAGACACAAAAAATGGCTATAAATAGATTCCAACTAGTAGATGGATCCACAACATTAACAAGACTGTTGTAATTCTAGAAAATGACTGGGTACCATATGATCCTAATAAAGGGTATACAATTACATGTTTTCACAGGGCAGTTAACAGACCCAATGTTCCCCCTCTTTTATCATACTCTCAGGGGCCACATTTTGCACATGTTCAGGTTGATATTATACCATGTAGTGTCTCTACTGGGACATGTCTCTATGTAGTGTCTCTACTGGGACATGTCTCCATGTAGTGTCTCTACTGGGACATGTCTCCATGTAGTGTCTCTACTGGGACATGTCTCCATGTAGTGTCTCTACTGGGACATGTCTCTATGTAGTGTCTCTACTGGGACATGTCTCTATGTAGTGTCTCTACTGGGACATGTCTCCATGTAGTGTCTCTACTGGGACATGTCTCCATGTAGTGTCTCTACTGGGACATGTCTCCATGTAGTGTCTCTCCTGGGACATGTCTCCATGTAGTGTCTCTACTGGGACATGTCTCCATGTAGTGTCTCTCCTGGGACATGTCTCCATGTAGTGTCTCTACTGGGACATGTCTCCATGTAGTGTCTCTACTGGGACATGTCTCCATGTAGTGTCTCTACTGGGACATGTCTCCATGTAGTGTCTCTACTGGGACATGTCTCCATGTAGTGTCTCTACTGGGACATGTCTCCATGTAGTGTCTCTACTGGGACATGTCTCCATGTAGTGTCTCTACTGGGACATGTCTCCATGTAGTGTCTCTACTGGGACATGTCTCTACTGGGACATGTCTCCATGTAGTGTCTCTACTGGGACATGTCTCCATGCTTTAATGTTCAAAAATCTCTGTTTTGTTCTCATAATGCCTGTGCTGCAGCACCTCTTTTCACCATCTGTCTGAAACCAGAGCCCAGTCTGCTCTGATTGGTTA